TGTTTTTTCTTTTGGCAATACAATTGTGTTCATGAGAGATGCTCTGAGCAAAATCTTGAATCCAAAAAGCAGCAAAAGAAATGGAGGAAAGGAATAGAGAAATTGTACTAAAAATAATTGGTCAAAACTGAAATATTGCAGGAAGTAGTATATGATAAAGAATCAATAGTAATGAAGGAAGAAGTTCAAGCTGCACTCAGGGCATTGGTAAAAAGGGAGGCTCCAAGAATTGATAGAATACTAACTGATATATTTAACTTATATATTTAACAACTGATATATTTAACTGATATATTTAACAAGTGGTTGTTCTCCAGATTTCTTGGCACACTGTAGAATACCACATAGGTTTGTGAAACTGACTGTGAAACTGTCTGTGAAACTAAGTAAAAAACTACTATGTTCTACAAGGTTCTTTATGTACATCACCTTAATGACAGCTCTGACATTTAAAACAAAAAAGTAAGAGTAGACGGTTCTGTTGTCAGCAAAAACAAGGTCCATGGTGGGGGGGAGGGGAAGATTTAAAGAAAACAGAACCTAGAAAAGTTTACCTAGTCAATAAGGGAGATGGATCCTTGCCGAGAGTAAAGAATACCAGAAGACTCTCTATTTGTGATTTATCCACTATGCAAAGGCATTTGATTGTATGTAACATAACTGTTACTGACATTGAAAAGAATGGAAGTTCTAGAGCACTAAACTGTGCTCATGCGGAACCTATACCTGGACCAGGACACTGTTGTGCGACTGAGCAGGGGAACTGCATGGTTTGAAATTAACAAGGGAGTGTGTCGGCGTTGTATTCTCTTTCCATACCTATTTAATCTGTATGCTAAGCAAATTATTCGAGAAGTTAGATTCTATAAAGAGGAGTATGGCTTCAGGGTAAGAGGGACACTCTTCAATAAGTTGCATTATGCTGATGACACAACCTTGCTTGCTGAAAGTGAAGAGGGCTTGAAGTACTTATTTTAGAAGATCAAGGAATGCAGTCTTCAGTACAGATTGCATCTCAGTGTCAACAAAGATTGTTACCACTGTACCAATAGACAACATCATGATGGATGGAGAAGAGACTGAAACTTCATTTTTCTTGGATCCACACTTAACACCCTTAGTATCAGCACTCAGGAAATAGACACATTCCACTGGGGAAATCAACTAGAACCTCTCCAAATTAGTGAGGAGTAATGTCAGTTTAAGGATTAAAATGTGTCTGATTCAAGCCCTAGTCTTTCTGACCACTTGCTATGCATCTGAGAGCTGGATAATGCATAAGGATGACAGAAGAAGAATTGATGCCTTTGAGCTGTGGTTTAGGAGAAGAGCATAGAACATCGATGGATGGCCAAAAGAACAAAAAAATATGTTTTGGAGAGGGTGCAACCAGAGTGCTATTGGGAGGCAAGAAATATGAGGCTTTGCCTCACACACTTTGGGCATGTAGGTGGTAAGGGCTATTCCTTGGAATGGAACATGATGCTAGGAAGGAGGGAGGGTTGCTATAAAGGACAGGAAGACCCTTGACCAGGTGGATTGACATGGTGACTCCCGTAGTGGGATTTTGTGTCAGGAAATATGAAGATGACACAGGATAGAACAGGGTTCAGATCTTTTGTTCACCATAAATCATACTTGACTCGATGGCCCCTAACAAAAACAACAACAAGGGTCAGTGAGAAGATTCAACTCTATGTTTTTTTCCTTCTTGTGTACCGTCAAATCGGGTCTGACTGGCACAGGAAGAGATTGACCCTCCTTCTCTGGCGGAGCATCTGTTGGATTAGTACATGGTGCCTTTGGGATTGCAGGGCTGTTCTTGCCTAGACTAGGCCACCTAGCTCCCTGAGAATTCAACTCTAAAAGCTCAAAGGGTGTGTTTTCTAATATAATTTAGAATTTACATTTTAAATTTCTTTGATAGTCTTATAGTTACTGTATTAACCTTAGAATTAGTTCTTAATGTCTAAATTTCTTAATCTATTAAATAAACACTTAAATTATATCTTTGTAGTAAAAAGTGATCTACCTTTTTAAAGCCTGTTTGGAAGTATGAATGACGATTATCTTAATCTATCTCAAATAGGTTTAAATTATCAAGACATGTTCTCTTTCCAAATGATTGATATTTATGATTTAAACTTCTAGATTTCATTATGGTTTACTTATGTTGTTATTATTGTTCACCATTGAGTCATGGCCAACCCATTACGGACCCTGTAGTGAGTTTTCAGAGGCAATTTGTCCGTCTTTCTTCTGTGGAGCAGCTGGTGGATTCAAAGCATGTACCTTTGTGTTAGCAGCACCATTACTTACACCTAAGCCACCAGGCTCTCTGGTTTACTTATGATGACATTAGAATGAACTGTATTTTGTATTCAACTTGTAAATGGAACTTCAAATTAGTTTCTAATATTTTTTATGTTTAAAGAATAATTTATTTTTTCCCTTATTTTAAAAAATTTGAGTAAAAGTCTACAAATTCTATTTTTTATTTCAGTCATTCATAGGCATTTTGTTTTGTAGCAATATTTGCAATTAGTTAATGTGATTAATTAAAATTTCTAATGAAACTTTTATTGTATTTTATTAACTAAAGGGAAAATATATCTTGTCATAAAAATTTTAATTATTCATTGTTATTCCTATGAGTGGTGTTTACATAAATATTATCTTTTATATAGTAGGTTTAATGTATGTGCCAGAAAACTAAAGGATATTTGAACAAAATAGATTTCTTTGATAAGTCAGTAGAAGTACTGTTACTCATTAGTATGAATCATGAACCCATAAACATGGACTTTATAAAAGATTAGTTTTCAAAATACCTTGTGCCTAATGTTTAATTGACTTTAAAATGAGAATTAAATTTTTAAAACACTTCATTGAAGAAAAATTGCTGTTTCAATTTTTAGTACCTGTTTTAGTCTTTCTTGTAAGAAAATAAACCCAAAAATCTTTCTTGAGTTCATCGATAGCAAACCAAATAATACGAGATTATCACATTTTCAAACTAATGTGTATTACTCAATAAGTGTGACAAACTCAAGACAAAGCAAACATTGTTTACTCCAAAGGGGTTTTCTGAGCCTTAAATTTATCATTTATGTATCATGGTGTTTATTTTTGTGCTAATATTTACTAACACTTGTTTTGGGTTATTTTTTTTTTCCATAGGAGGACGCAATGAGGTTGTCATTACTGAAAACAATAACAGCATAACTGAACAGATCACTGATGTTGTGAAGCAACCAGCTTTTATAGCTGGCATTGGTGGTGCCTGCTGGGTAATTTTGATGGGTTTTAGCATCTGGTTGTACTGGAGAAGAAAGAAAAGAAAGGGACTCAGTAATTACGCTGGTAAGAGACTACTTCCCATTTATAAAACCTCAACTTTGGAAATGTAATGTAATGAAATGAAATGAGTGAGTTGGAAAGGTGCATGGGTGAACAAATGAGTGTTTGGGGCTTTTAAAATTTGCTCTGAAAATGCGACTGTACAAAACATAACTCAATGGTTCTTAATCATTCCAGATCCTTCCAGGAGAATTATTTAGTCTGCACCACCAGTTGAGTTTAAAAGTAGTACATATAGTAAAATTTAAATCTGTTTTCATAGAGTCACTTTGAGCCATACTTGACTTGATAGCACCTAATGACAACAAGGGAAGCTCTGGTGGCTTAAAGGTAAGGAGTTGCACTGTTGACACAAGGCATACCATTCATATCCAACAGCTGCTCCATGGGACTAAGATGGGCAATCTCCTGTCACGTGATTTACTGCCTCTAAAACCACTCTGGGGGTCAACTATGAGTTGTTTCCAGTTCAACAGTGTATAACAGCAACAAAATGTGTGCATAATAATTTTTCTCAATTCTTCAAAATATATACACTCATGCCATACACACATGCACATATATACAGTTACTTGAATGTACACACATATTCATACAGATTTTATATATCATCAAGGCATTGATTGGAAAGGAAATCTGGACAAAATCATAATTATAATTACCAGGGGATAAAAAAGATTTGAAATATAGCTTTTGGTATCTCAGGATACAGACTCTAATGGGAAATGTCCCAGATGGAAAATACAATCAAGTAAAAAAAGAATCCCCAGAATTAGTATAAATACTAGGTAAGGTAGCTCTTTAACATATGTCACCAATCAGCATTTTAGCTAGAAAATAACCAGAAAACAAAAGAGAATTCTAGATGACCTTCTAATTTCAAAATCCAAAACTGAGTTTCAAAGATATCTGAAATAGTGACATTCAGAATTTCTCTAAAGCTAAGAAAGAGAAGTGTAAATAAATAATAAAGAAAATGAGCACAGAAGCTGTGCTCCACACAATTGTAATTTAGATTAATTTTCATTTTCCTCTAGTAACAACAGTAAAATGAAACTACCTCATTATATTTCATACTTACCCAGACAAGGGAGCAATTTAATGTAGTGTGATCTTACAAAATATTTCCAAATGTTTTTGAGGCATTTATTCAATCCCTTTTCTTATTTTCATTGTGATAGAAAGCATAAATACTTGATTGATTTTTAAAGGAGTTTCATTGCACATTAAGCTTCTAAACTCTGGTAGCCTCTTGACTTCTAAGCTGTCAGTAATGTCTAAATGATAAAAAAAGCAGGGAATAACATATACTTGATTGCCTGGTTCATTATTTGGCAATATTTAAACATTATCATTTGATCATAAAACTCTGTCTCACTTCTGTATCTTATGAAGATAAAGTTTAGTAGTAACTGGTTTGAATGCATTTCCAGAACTGAAGAAAGTGTTTTAAAAGGACTTCGGCACTTTCTGACTCACCATCTTTCTGCTACTTCATTATTTTCTTGGCTACTGGTTATCTGCTACTTTGCATTTTGTCACTGCATCAAGGAAGGATTCTATAGAAGCATGGCGATTCTTGTTGAGTGCCAGACTTCTGAACATTAAATACACTTTAAGATGCCTTCCTGTTTACAGTCCAATCCTTTACCTCTTCCTGTTAGATATTGTCCATTAATATATTTATTTCATCCAACATTATATTGGTTTTCTGTTACACATGTGTATAATCCCTGTAAAACATAAGGAAGGATTGGTTTAATTCAAGGATTATTTTGTGCTCTTTTAGCTTGACATCAGAGATAATAACTTAAAATTATCTGTGCTAGTGTCTTCAGAAAAGGTTGTACAGTGGCTAATATCTCAGCTGCTAACTGCGGGGTTAGAACCCATCAGCTACTCCATATGATAAAGATGTAGCAGTCTGTTTTTATAAAGAATATAAGCATGGTAAATATAGAACAGTACTACTATGTCCTGTGGCAGCCCTAGGAATCAATATCAAGTGAAAGGCACACAGCACCAAAAATTTCATGACAAATTATAATACATTCATATCTAAAGTATTGCCTTATTGCCATCTATACCTCTTCTTTCATTTAATTCTTATAAATAATATAGCTCCAACATTTCAGTGTGTACTTTCTGTTAAATTAGCACACAGGTATTTCTTCCTCTCTTCGGCCTCTTACTTCTCAACTTCCTCCTTCTTCAACAGCAGAGCATTACAAATTCTACCGTTTTTAAATTAATTTGAAAGTATCTGTTGGTCTTTGAGCTTGACAGGAATAGCCTATGACCCATTATCATTTCTCACTGTGATTGATAATCATCTGCTTGTAGAAGAACTGTTAAATCAGAAGGTGCTTTGCCCTTCAAATATTTTGGAATAAAGCCAAGACAGAGAACAGCCTTTCAGAACCCTTACACTTAATTGATAGATGTCTGACTGAATAGATTCACCTTCAGGTAGTAATTTTCCTCTAGCAGTTGCTCCTTTCTTCTAGGTGAGAAACAAATGAAAATAAAAACCTCAAAAGACTTAACATTACATAGATGAAAAGTGAATGTTGAGCACACATTTCCTCTTATAATTTGTTATCTTGCTGAATTTTCATATTATTATCCTTAGCATAATGTAGAGAAAATGGTTTAAATTTGAATGAGTAGTAGAATATGGATTTATTGTATTCAAATCTCTGATATTTTAAGAGTACAATGATTCCATATAATTAGGTGGTGTTGGGTGAGTTCCAACTCGTAACCACGCTGTGTATGAAAGAACGGAACTCTACCCAGTCCTTCTTCACCAAATCTCACGATCTCTGCTGAAGCTAATTTTTCAGACACTATATCCATCCTTTCCATTTAAGATCTTTCTCTTTTTAATCAACACTCTACTTTTCCAAGCATGAAGTCTTATTACCAAGGACAGTTCCGTCCTGATAAAGTGGTCTAAAAATGCACGATGTGTGTCACCATCTTTGCTTATAAGGAACACTTTGGCTGCACTACTTCCAAGACAGATTTGTTTAATTTTTTGACAATTCATGGTATATTTCACCTTCTTCAGCAATACCACCACAAAGTCATTGATTCTTTAAGAGACTACTTTCTCTTATAATTTTAGAAAATATATATCATTTCTGGTTATGTATATAGTTTGGTTTTCATAAAAAAATCGCTGGGAAACGTGTTTTTATAAGTATATGAACTAAACGTGATAAAATGATGAATTGACACAATGACAATAATAGTGGGCTTAAGGATCTTGTAGATCTTGAGGATGGCACATGATAAGGCTACATTCCAAACTGTTGTTCATAGGGTTGCTACAAGTTGCCAACTTGACAGGATTTAACAACAATTGCACACACAAGATAAAAACCTAAAGCTTTTTCACTAAATATTTGAAAATTTATTGTGAATTCATGAAAGCAGGGCCTTTTTAATGTTTCTTTTAGCTAACAAGCAAGATGGGGAATATCCTCCTGTGTGCTTATCTGCCTCTGGAAGCCCCATGGTGGGTCAGATCTGGTCAGTTCTAACTACGGTATACAACACCACCACTAAGCAAGAAGTATACAGTTGTTAGGGATTTTGTCATATGCCATTCAGTTGATGTTGTTGTTTGCTGTCAAGTTGGAATCTACTCCTAACTGACTCTCACAAGGGAGATCACCCATCTTTCTCCTGCACAATAGCTGGTGCCTTTGTGTGATTGCACACGGCTTCTTACCTCTAGGCCACCAAAGCTTGCTGTCCAGTTGATATTGACTCATAATAACATCGTACTTCAAAAAAACAGCTCTGTAAGAGTTTACAAAGCTGTCATCTTTCAGATAGCAATTCTCCAGTTCTTCCTCCTGCAGAACTGCTGATGAGTTCAGCTATATATCTTCCACTTTGAAGCTGAGCACTTAATCATTGTGCTATTAAAGTGCTTCTGTGCTTTAGTATCCTTCTTAATGTAGCTGTTAGGTGCTGTCCAGTCAACTCCAAGAAATAATGGGCCTAGGAACAACAGATCAAAACCTTGCTCTACCCTGAGCCACCTTCCTAATTCCTCCCATGCAGTGATGTTAGTATTTCCTTTGTAACATAACACATTTATTTACTTTTAACCCAATTGTAATCTTTAACCACCTTGGTGTAAATGTAAACATTCATTGTAATTTACATTTATGTTAAGAGACATTCATTTGAATAAAATTAGACTGACCTAGGTAGAATTGTAAAGCAAATAGCATTTACTTCTACTCTCTTTCCCCCCCCTAAATCTTCATTCCAGGTTTCTTCTTACACACTAAAGGTAGTCAGTGAAGATAGTAACCCAGCAGAGAGTCATATAAACACTGCAGGGTACAGATTCTAACTGGGAAGCTAGCCATTGGCTCAGGTCTATGTAGGCAAAAGCCTCAAAAGCTTCTAGGCTTTGACTCTTATGGAAAGTTTTCTATGACTGCTTACAAAGAATTTTTAAAAAATTGCTTTTCATTGTTGATATTTTCACAAAACAGTGATGGATTAAGACCTCAGATTCTATAAAACAACCAAAAAAGATCAAATATAAGCTAGTATAGCTGAAGGATCTGAGAAGAGAATTTGCCCTGAGCCCCTTTTACTTGTTTACACAGCAGAATGTACAGACTTTTCCCAAGGCAGCTCTATACACTAACATGCTGTTTTGTTCCCATATTTAGCCTTTTAAATTCTTTACATACAAACATGCATATAGCACAAACAAGGGCAGCTGGAAGACCCAGTGTCCCTCCCACATCCTACATGAAACCATGTCACCCTTTCTACACCAACATGGGATCTTATTTATCTCAAGTCTTTCATGAGCGCTAATGACTTCCTTTTGTTTTGAGTTTGATCTTCCTGACTTCTAAAAGAATCCACTACTGAGTTTTTATTGGGTGAAAGAGAATTACAAGCCAACTGTGGTGGAAAGTAGTTGGTTATTCTTAAAGCTAGAGTAAATGATTGATTATAAGACTGCAAATTGAAAAAAAAAATAGAACATACATTTGGAAAGAGCCCTGTAGCTTTCATTGGAAGTAAATTATAGTACTTATAGCCAATTTTCAAAGTAATCAACTTTTTCATGAAAGTAAATATATTTTTACTTGTAAAGGAGTAAAATGTATTTTGAAACTATTACCATTGAGGAAAACAGATTTTATGAAACTCAGAAAAATATAAACAATTTCATAATCTAAAGAAAATTAGGAAATGTATAACATTTCACACACAGGTTTTTAAACTGTTGGAAAAATAAAAATTATTTGACAAAACCATCCAAAGACAGCTAAAAGATTTGATGGAATTTTTATACTCGGATTATCTGGGCTGAGTTAATGCTTATTAAAAGAGGATTAATCTACATTCATATTTTAGAAATAGCTTATCGGGAAAGGGAATGAGGTTTGGCTGGCAACATTAAAGTTCCTATTTGGATGAGGAACATGTGGTTCACTAGAGATAGTCACTCTGAAAGCTTCCTTACCTCAAAATGTCAATTTGCCACATAGTTATGTGCCACCCTCTCTCCTAGTACTGGTAGGAAAGCGATTAGGATTAATCCTTTCAGATAATTGTAGAGGTACTTTGAGTGTGCCACAAACTTGCAAAATCTTTTCCTCCGATCCTTTATAAAGAGTGCAATAAATTAAAAATACTTAATACAACTCTAAGACATTTTAGCTTGTAATGGTGTAACTTCTTAGAAACTTTAGCTCTGCTGTGCCAGTTAGTTTTTGCAAATGGCTCTAGTGTCCTAGTGGAGTCACACTGCCAATCTAAAAGGAAGTGGTTTTAATCCACGCCCCCACCCCCACCCCACCCCATTTGCTTCTCTGTAGAAGAAGGGCATTCTCTTCCTGTTCAAGTTATAGCCTCTAAAACCCCATTGGAGGGTCAGCTGTTAGTCATTTCTGGTGTGAGAGCAATAAGTTGAGTTTGTTCTGTATGTTTCTCCCTAAGTGTCTCAATTTTAGATGCTAATAAAGATTCCTTGTAAAGATTCAGTTCCATTTTTTTTTTCTTTCTGATGGGCACACTGTGATTATAAAAATGTTATCTGGCCTTGTTTAATACCTCCAGTGCTCAATTTACTTCTTTAATGGTTTCAGATTAATTCTCTTGTGCTTTTTTATTACATGGAGTTCTAGAGTGGCACACTGTGGTAGGAGTACAGTTACTCCCAGAATTTAAACAAGCCTGTCTGGAAGGAGAGTAGTGATATCAGTTGTTTTTTTGTTTTGTTTTGATTTTTTTTTTCATTTTCTCTAACAAACTCTCTGTCCTGTGCAAATGTACAAGTTTTAATATGCATTTTGGCAAATGATAAGGTAATATATTTGAAGGCAAAGATGGTCAAGTTCACCTCATATACTTTGGGCATGTTGCTAGGAGAGACTATTTCTGAGAAAGAGGCATGTAATCAGAAAGGCAGAGGGTGTGAGGATGACACAGGATAGGACAGGCTTCAGATCTGTTGTTCATAGGATCGCTATGGGTCATACTCAAGTCAATGACACCTAAAATCAACAACAACAGTTATATGTAAAGCTTGGTTTAGCCTCAGTGATACTGAGTGAAAATGAATTCATAAGTGATCCTGTAGCAGGTTTCAGAGGCTGTAAATCACATGGGAAGTATTGCTCATATTTTGCCTGAGTTGCTCCTGGTGGGTTTGAAATGCTAGAGAAGTAGTATTAGCAGCTCAACTTCTTCAGTGTAGACCCCCACACAGCTCACTTTTCTTTAGCCTGTGATTCAAAAAGAATCATAATTCACCAAAAAATATTAAATGGCTTTGAGTAAAGTTTTCTTTCTCGGACCTTCAGTTGAAATTCATCCTATTACCTTTCTCACATCTGAAGCATTCTAAAGTCCAAATACATTTAGTCACAAAGTATCAGATAAAGCATTTGGATAAAGGTCTCTGGATGATACTTGAAAACCACAATCTTGTTATGAGATTTCTGGAATATAAACAATATAATGAAAGGAGTAGATTCATCTTTTGTGGCTCTACTAGGGACTTATTGAAGTTACTAATCAATTCCTTGATTTTATAAAAGCTTTGAGTTTTGTGATCATTATATACATTGGAATATATTCACTATAACTTATTTTAAAATTTCACCTTCCTGAGAGTTAAATGATGAAACAAAGTAGTTAACACGTTAACTTTTGTCATCGTAATTATTATTGTTTTTATGTCTGTTTTAATTGTAGTTGATCAAATCATAATTCATATAAATTTCTCTCCTGAAAAGACCTCTGGTGATTAAAAACATGCAATCATCCAATGTCTGTTTCTCATGCTTAATAGGATAATTACCTGAATTATCCTACTTCACTCTTTATTATCTATCTATATTTATGTTACGATTAGAAGTCATGGTTTGATAAATCCACATTAATATCATGTCTTATCTTCTTGATTCTCTGTGTGTATACAGATTAAATCAGCTATTGACATCTAAGTAAAAATTACGCCTTTAACTCTACATTTGACTTTTGAAATGTTTTATTAAAGTTGGTATAAGTTACAGTTTTGCCATGGGCAAACCACTGCTTGTTAATTTCTGTGCAATTATGTTAATTATATTTTGTTAAAATTCCCAGAGGCCTCTACTAAACTAAGGGCCAATATGTAGTTGCTATTAATTGTAATTAATATTGACTACATGTGTATGCATGTTTCTTTCTTTCCTGTTTTTTTTTTTAAACAGTTACATTTCAAAGAGGAGATGGCGGACTAATGAGCAATGGAAGGTATGCTAAGGATATTTTTTTTCCCCAATTTTATTTTTAATCAGGACTGGGAAACTGTAGAAAGAGGCTATTATTGTAATAAACGATCACTTATAAGACTGAGAATTCTAGGAGGAATTAAATGGCTTACCACAAGGTTTAATGATCTATCTATTGTGCACTTTAGAGGAATCAAGTCCAGATGTTTCATATCTCCCAGATGCCCCTAAAGAAATTAGTAGTAAATATCACAAGGAATGTGTTCATTTGTTAGCAGGATGTTTATTGCATTAATTAGACATTAGCAAATGAAGTTGCTGTTGTTTAAGACTCCTTATTGGCTCTCACTAAATTGCTGTGAGTGAACAATTACACATAATCGATCACAAAGTAAATGATTCATGGATGATGAATAGGCTGTAGATTGATAGGACTGGATTCCACAAGTTTGGATACTCAATTGAAATTGATAAAAGCTGATAACAAACCCGTATATCCTCATCTATTTTCCCTTTGCCAATATGGAGATTGTAATTAGGCTCTGGTAATAGCTTCCAATCTCCCATTTAATCAATATTTTAGCAAAAAGAGATTGGGTCTAATGAGAGCAAGTGGATGTAGCAAGAAAGAGGTTGAATCTTCTTATTACAGTTTCCATAGAAACACATGTTTCTCTTAAGGATTGTACCAGAAGGGGCCTACCAAAAAACAAAGATATACAATGATTACAGATGTTGCTATTTCTTTATAAGTGTGCAAATAATCTGGAAAGAAATCAGTACCCCATCTTTTATATTAAAGATGGGAATTCTTTCTTAAACATGACATGAAGGACGTTTCCCCCAGAGTTACTTGCATGGTTGATCAAATCATAGTGGATCTTTTACAACCTTAAATAAAGAAAGCAAAACTTTAGTATACCTGTGATATGTTGCAGTTTAGACACCTTGGAAATGTGCTATGGATAGAATAGTATAAATACTCTTCATTAATTTCTCTCAAGTTCCTTGTTCTAAATCAAGCATGAGGACTCAGAACAAGGAGTTATAGCCTGCAGCGGACAGATACATATTGAGGCTACAAGAATGGAGAGCGCAAATCCCAGAGTCCTAGGAATGGCTGGTACAGAGCAGTCACTCTGAGCAATTATTCTCTGGAGGTGGCAATTTGTTATCAATCCTTGTTTCAGGATCCCGATATGCTACTACCAATTCCCACACTTTTCAGGGCAGACAACTGAATTCATTTGGATGTCAGCAGATTCCAGGCAAGGATGCTTCTACTTCCGCTGACAGGGTTGATCTATATTTAACCTTAATGAGCTACTCAAGTACCTTAATTCTTGAAATTCCTCATATTTTAACTTGAAGCGCATTAAGTGCTTCTTAATGCCCTTCGTCCGTGAGACAGGTGTTAGATTCTCGTTGAGTTTCCTTGGCTGATTTCTCTTCTCGTTCTCTTGTAGCCGCCCAGGACTTCTAAACGCAGGTGATCCCAGTTATCCGTGGCTTGCTGATTCCTGGCCAGCCACAAGCTTACCTGTAAACAATAGCAACAGTGGCCCTAATGAGATTGGGAATTTTGGACGCGGAGGTCAGTTGCTTTTTTTTTTTTTTTTTTCTTTTTTTTTATTATTAATTTTAATAGACATTTACAGAGGTTTTGGATTTCCACTCATTCATTTCCGCACTTTTCTCCCTGCCCACCCCTCCCCACCAGCTCACTTCCCCCTCCAAAGAGGAAAAAAAAAATTGCTCCCTTCGTATACGATTCCCGGGTGGGGGGGGGGGAAGGGTCGTGGTCAGTTGCTTTTAAAACTGTTGTTTGTTTATTGTGTGGCTTCCCTATTTGTTTTTCAAAAGACAGTAAAAAAATGTCAGAAGCATTGTCAAGGACTAGGAATCTGCTCAGTTTGAGACCCTCATGAGTTTGTGGAGGTTATTTAAATCAGACTTGCCTCTTCTTTCTTCCACTAGTGAATTCAAAATGCCAGAGTGGGACCGCCTTTGGGTTAGCAGTGCAGCTTTCTGTAGTCAGAGTTCAAAAACACAGGAGTAATCGTCCCATAATTAAAATTAGCAAATTGCAAGCTCAGAGGTAAAGGTCATCTTTGATTTCAAAACTGTTTGAGAGGGTAGGACACATATTCACTTTGAAATAGGCATGTAAAAATCTCACAACATTTCAATGTTGGAATATTATTTGTTTTTTTTAAGATATGAGAGTAAACAGATAATATTTGAACAGCAGAACTCAACCCCCAAAAATCATTATAAAAGCGCATTCGCCCAAAAGTCTAGCGTACTCAGCAGGAAGAAAGAGATTCTATTTACAGAAGCATAGCTTTTGTTGTTTTACAGTGAAGTGTGTAAAACTAGTTTCTTGAAACTATTTTTATTTTTTTAACTTCTGAGCACACAGCAATTTAAATGTTCATGGTTGAAACTGCTCATATATGAACTCTAAAGCTCTAAATCAAACTGTTGGAAAGTAATTTGTTTCAAAAAGCATTTCTTTATTAACATATTATTTATTTCTTAAGAAAAACATGCAAGAGAGAGAACTGAAATACCCCCTATTTTAACGAGTCTTGATACTCCATTGAAAACTTTTGGAGAACACGAAAGAAGACATTCAGATGGTGAACAAACACATGGAGAAATGTTCAAAATCCCTAGCTCTAAGAGAGATGCAAATCAAAACAACTATGAGATATCATCTCACCCCAGTCAGAATAGCAAAAAACAAATGCTGGCGAGGTTGTGGAGAAACTGTAACCCGTATTCACTGTTGGTGGGAGTGTAGAATGGTGCAACCACTATGAAAACAGTATGGCCCTTTCTCAAAAAGTTGGAAGTAGAAAACCATATGACCTAGCAATTCCACTACTGCAATATACCCTAAAGAAACCATAACCACCACTCAAGCAGATATATGCACACCCATGTTTATTGCAGCTTTGTTCACAATAGCAGAGTTGGAAAAAGTCAAGGGGCGATCAACAAACGAATGAATAGAGAAGCTCTGATATATTCACACAATTGAATACTATGCTGTATTGAAAAACAAGGAACTCATGAAATATTATATAAAATGGGTGACCCTGGAGGACATTATGCTGAGTGAAATATCTCAGTCACAAAAGGACAGATACTGCATAGTGTCACTGTTGTAAAGCGGCACTGACATTGGAGTTGGGGGAAAACTAAGAGGGAATAAATAATGTATGCTGCATTGAAACATGAGGGAGAGAGCTGTTTCGGTGGAATATATGATTTAGTATTATTGTCATGACAAGAATCCAGAATGAAAGCTGCATAGTGGAGTGGACTGGTGTGGGGGATTGTACAACAAAGAATGTGAACTGGAGGGGTAGGGATGGGCAGGGAGGAAAGTGCAACAATGAATGAATGGAAATACAAAGTCTCTGTAAACTTTCATTAAAAAAAATAAAAAATAAAACTTTGGAGAATGAAAATGGCATTAACGCTTGAGAGGGAAGCACTTTTCTTCAGTGCTTAAATTGTAGTTAGTGTATAATTGAGAGCAAGAAGAGCAAGAAAGTGATTCTGAAAATTTTGTAATCAGAAAACAATTTTATGTGTTTATACATTTTAATGAAACATACATTTGAGTATGTTTAACAATCTCACTTGTATGTATTTAAGTTATTTTAATAGTCTGCTTAATTGTAAGACAAATCTAAATTCGGTCTTTAACTTATATATTGTTGCTTGTTGTTGTTATGTGTCATCGAGTAGCCTGCACCTCTTAGCAACCCTATGTACAACAGCTCTGAACTCTGCTCTATCGTGAGCCAATTTCATTGTCACTGACAAACCTGCCCCCATTACCTAGGTAACTAAATCAATCCATCTGATCCAGGGTCTTCCTCTCTTGTGCTGTCCCTCCACCTTTCCAACTATCATGTCCCTCTCCAAAAGCTGGTCCTGTTTGGCAACATGCCCAAAATATGCCAGACAGAGATTCATAATCCTTGCCTAAAAGGAGCAACTTGGTTTCACCCTCTCCAGAATGGACCTGTTTGTTCTTTTAGCAGTCGATGGTATATTCAAAACTCTTCGCCAGCATCACATCTCAAAGACATCACTTCTTCTTCTATTATCCTTAATCCTTGTCTAGATCCTGATGCATAGTAAGTAATTGTTAAGACCATGACCTAGATCAGGTGCATCTTAGTTGCATCATTGCGCTTCAGTACTCTAGCAGGGTTCCTGACAGGTGACTTTCCTGGCTGCTGGTCCCAAGAGTGTTGATTGTGGAGCCCAGCAGCAAGCTGAAGCTGTTAACAATCTTAATCTTTTCTCCATCTTTCATGATGCTGCTATTGGCCCGGTGGTGAGAATCTTAGTATTTTTTATATTAAGCTTCAATGCATATTAAAGGCTTCAGTCCTTGACCTACTACAGCAAATGCCTCAGATCCTTCTCAGTTTTGGCAAACAAGGTTGTGTTATCTGAATAACACAGGTTGTTAATAAGTCTTCTTCCAATCCTGACGCTACATTGTTCCTCCCAGATGATCTGTTTCACATATACATTGAAAAGGCATGGACATAGGATGTATCCCTGGAATACACCTTTCCTGATTTTAAACCATGCAGTGTTTCCTTGCTCTGTTCAGACAACTGCCTCGTGATACAAGTATAGGTAGTGCATAAGCATAATCAAGTGTTCTGGGATTTTAGTTCTTCTCAATGTTCAAAATATGTTATTCATTTTTTTCATGGTTGTTAAAGAAAATTTAAAAAAATTAGATGCAAGAAGAAAACTATCCAAATAAGAACTTTTATTACAAGCACTACTATACCATAAACTCAAAAATTCCTAGGATACCTTACAGATTGCCTACTTTGTTTGATTGATTGGATTTCTGCTAATGATAAGAAGTTGACTCATTTTACTATGATAATAGGCTTTGATAGATATAATTTCAATACTATAACAAAGTTGAAACTAGTCATCCTGAAAAAGATAAGAGTTACTTGATCTCAAGTCCTATGAAATGATGTTTTCCAATTCTTGATTATGGGGATTAACCCATTCGTAGGAACTCTAGTGGCCTGGTGGTAAGAAAGTACGCTAAAATCCCAAAAGGATGTGGTTTAAATCTCATAGCTGCTCCCTAAGAGAAGAATGGTCACTCTCCTCCCCTGTGATTTATCACCTCTGAAAACCCACTGGAGGGTCAAGTATGGGTCCCTGTCAACTCACATCACATGGCAAAAAACACAACAATGGGTTAGGGCAGAGCCATAGTGGTGTAGTGGTAAGGAGCTGTGCTGCCAACTTGAAGATAGGCAGTTCAAATCCACCAGCAACTTTACAGGGAAAAGATATGCTATCTCCTTTCTTGCAGTTTACAGCCTCTGAAAACAGAGAAATCAGGGGATGAGTCACTTCTGTCTAGTTGGCACATAACAACATTAAAATGAGTAAGGAGTTGTGCTAATAACCCAAAGGCAGGGACTTTGAATCTACAAGCTCTACCCTCTGCCCTCGGGGAGAAAGATGAGCAATCTCCTCCTGTGTGATTAGCAGCCTCTGAAAACCCACTGAAAGGTCAACTATGAGTCAGTTCCCACTCAGTGACAATCAGAGAGGGACTGGAATTAGCATCAAAACTACAATCCTCCATTTTTAAGAACTAGTAGTCTATCTGTGTTTCATTGACTATGCAAAGGCATTTGACTGTGTGGATCATAACAAACTGTGGCTGACTCTGAGAAGAATGGGAATCCCAGAACACTTGATCGTTCTAATGCAAAACCTATACTTGGGCAAAGAGGCAATCGTCAGAACAGAGCAAGGGAACACTGCATGGTTCAGAATTGGGAAGGGTGTACGCCAGGGATGCGTTCTCTCTCCATACCTTTTCAACCTGTATGCAGAACAGATTATCCAGGAGGCTGGGCTCTATGAGAAGAAATGTGGGGTCAAGATTGGTGGAAGATCTATCAACAATATGTGTTATACAGATGACATAACCCTGCTTGCTGAAACTGAAGAGGACCTGAAGCACCTGCTGCAGAGGGTCAAGGACTGCACCCTCCAATATGGATTGAGGCTCAAAGTCAAGAAGACAAAGATTCTGCCACTGGGCCATTGGAAGCATCAGGATGGATGGTGAAGAGATTGAGATTGTTCACAGCTTTAGTTTGCTTGACTCCACAGTCAACACTCTTGGCACCAGCAGCCAGGGAATTAAAAGGCGCATTGCGATGGGAAAGTCTACTGTTAGGGACCTCTCCAAAGTACTGAAGAACAGTGGTGTCTCTCTGGAGACTAAGGTGCATCTGATACAGGCCATGGTCTTTGCAATCACTTGTTACGCATCAGAGAGTTGGACAATGACTAGGGAGGACAGAAGGAGAACTGATGCCTTTGAGCTGTGGTGCCTGGGGTATTGAGAATACCATGGACTGCTAGGAAAATAAACAGATTCATCCTGGAAAGGGTTAAACAGAGTGGATCTTCGGAGGCAAGGATTCTGAGGATCCTTTGGACATGTTGTAAGAAGAGACCGGTCCTTGGAGAAGGACGTCATGCTGGAGAGGGTGGAGAGACAGCGCAGGAGGGGAAGGCCCTCTAGGAGGTGCATTGATTCGGTGACTGGGATAATCGGGATGGGAGTGTCAGAGACGGTGCTATTGGCCCAAGACAGAGCAGAGTTTAGGGCTGTTGTGCATAGGGTCACTATGAGTCTCAAGCGACTCGACGGCACATACAAACAACAACAGTAGCTTACATTAAAGTTCATAATCTCAGAGATTGTTTTTTTTCCCTTTTTTTTCTGTAGTTAAATTCTACTCTATTGTGAAGCTGACTTGTTCATGGAAGTTTCCTTTTGTTGTTGAAGAGGGAGGGGATCACTGATCAGCTTCACTTCAGGCTGGGACTATGCCATCAAAGCAGATAACTGACAAATTTACACACCAGAATATACCTGGTAGTTAGGATGGAGTAATTTGGGAATTTTTATTTTTTATTTTTCATCTATTCAGCAGTTCCATATCTTTGGGAGTAAAGTGAAAAAATCCTAATCCAGGATTTGTAGATTCATTCTCATCACTACATAAATAAAATGCTAACAGTTTTATTGTTGCTAATACAGAAAGTATTATTCAATAAGGAAACCTCTCAACCTCCTTTGATGAAAATAAGGAAAAGGTGCTTTCAGCCGTGAGATGTGAGGGAACTATGGTAGGCCTGTCGTCAAGGCTGAAAGCTTTGGTGATAGTTACTTTTCACCTACCCTTTCTTTCTTGGCTCACAAAGCCATCTCAGCTACCATGCAAACGTGTGACATGACATATTTATTTTTCATCATCAGTGTTGATAGTTTTGGGCTTCCTGTGCATCATTAAATTGTTTCATTTCCCTATTTTCACCACAGATGTGCTGCCACCAGTTCCAGGCCAAGGGGATAAAACAGCAACGATGCTCTCAGATGGAGCCATTTACAGCAGCATTGACTTCACGACCAAAACTACTTACAACAGTTCCAGCCAAATCACACAGGCTACCCCATATGCCACGACACAGATCTTGCATTCCAATAGCATTCATGAGTTGGCTGTCGATCTGCCTGATCCACAGTGGAAAAGCTCAATTCAGCAAAAGACAGATCTGATGGGATTTGGCTATTCTCTACCTGATCAAAACAAAGGTAACAATGGTAAGAGAGATTCTTGTTTCCTCAGGAGTTACTTTCATATCATTTGTGCATGACATAGAAATTAGTATTTGGTGTTTCACAGTGATTCATTACCGGGTTCACTACTTAAACTAAAAAAAATTTACACCAGCATGTATTCAGTCCCTTGTACAATCCTTATCACCACCGCTGTCACCACCACACAACACCACCAATCGGTTTCATGCTTGTAGCTGTTTCCACTCTAGTGATCAGCACTCCATCTCTACTTCCATTAGGACAGGGTTAGACAAAACATTCCTCCACTCTCCCACAACATCTGCTTCTCAGTCGCTAACTGCATGTTCTGCATGGGCTTGTGCTGTGAACTAATCACATGATGCCACTATGACCTCTGCCCTTTAACCCTTAGCCTTACTTTACATCCCTGACTACCGATTGGCTGAGGGACTCTCTAATAGAATGCCACACAACCAGTCACAGGATTTCAGCACCACCAGCTCTCACAACAGCTCAGAAAGGAGTGGCAGTCTCTCAGGTTGGTCTCATTACAGTAAGGAGAAATATTTGTTTGTCATCAACATATGACCTGTGTTCCTAACAGTCATGAAGAACTACTGAATCACAACTCACTGGCAGGCATTTATCTTTTAACTGACAGTAACAGTGTATGCTAATGAAATACTGCATTGGGGTGGGAATATAAAAATGCATCTCCTTTATCCACTAAGTGTATAGGAATGTCTTTAGGGGGGAAAACATATTTATTATTTAGTTTTAATGCTAAGAGCATGTAATGGATGTAATACTAAGTCCTATTCATTGAAGAAAAAAACAGGCTAATGGATCTTAATCTCTTTTTAAGAGAACTTTATAATAAGGACTTGGCAGTATATTCTATGACATGGCATTTAACTAAAATTCAAATTATTTGAGAGAATTTTTTATATTACATTTCTAGTGGCTTGACTTCTATGTCTAGATTTTTTATTTTGTTTTTCAGCTTCTCATGTAGCAGAGTTTATTATCACTAGAATTGTATTATTTAGTGTGAGTTGCTGGTAGCAGAGTTTATTATCACTAGAATTGTATTATTTAGTGTGAGTTGCTGGTAATGTGTCAAAGAGTAGTGTTAACATGGGGATTTTTAGTTAAAATATAATTGAAAAATCACGTGGAGTCTTCAATCCAAATAATTGGTTGCAAGATAAGTGAGGATATATGTTCTATGTTCAGCTTAAGTAATGATCTATAATGTAAGTATTTTAGAGGACATGTGATGAAAAACATGTATCACTGGACAGGACTATATTCTTATCATAATGAATGCCAGTGATATCTTTCAGGTCAAGAATTCTCACCTGTAAAATGAAACAATTATAGTAGATGCACTCTTACTGTCAGCTGTAACATTTTCACACAATGACTGATGATTTTATCAGCCCATTTCTAATTGATTCCATGACCCTATTTGCCTAATCTGTCCAGATTAATGATATACTATTTGTTTGTATTTCCCGGGGTGAGGGAGTATGTCTAATTATACATTGCTAGCAAAGATTGTGTCATATGCAACTATGCATCAAGGACATAAAGAGTTAACTCTTACATATAATTAGGATAACATTTAATAACTTACTTTTCCTCAGGAGATAGTCCCCTCTCTATCTGAAAATGTTAATGTTCTTTCTTCCCTCCAAAATGAGCCATTTACTCTTCTTGCCTACTGGTTAGATTAGATATATTATAGAGTCTAGAAAATTTTAAGCATCTGTTATGAATTTAAACTATCTTAAACATAGGGCACCTGCTTGAATAATTGTATGTGTCATTTCCACTGTCATTTAATAATGTGCCTCATGTTGTTTTCATACTTAAAAAGAAATTCAGGTTATTTCCTACTTAGGTAATTTAAAGTATATTTCAAACAAAATATGAAAAAAAATCCATACACTTTAAACCACGATTGTTGTTGTTGTTATGTGCCGTTGAGTCGTTTCCGACTCATAGCGACCCTATGCACAATAGCCCTAAACCCTGCTCTATCCTGCACCAACCGCACGGCCTCTGACACACCCATCCCGATTACCCCAGTCACCGAATCAATCCATCTCATAGAGGGTCTTCCCCTCCTGCGCTGTCCCTCCACCCTACCAAGCATGATGTCCCTCTCCAAGGACCTGTCTCTCCTTGCAACATGTCCACAGTATGTCAGATGAAGCCCCAGAATCTTTGCCTCCAAGGAGTAGCCTGGTTTAACCATCTCCAGGATGAATCTGTTTGTTTCCTTAGCAGTCCATGGTACATTCAATACTCTTCTCCAGCACCGCAGCTCAAAGGCGTCAATTCTCCTTCTGTCCTCCTTGGTCACTGTCCAACTCTCTGATGCAAATACCATGGCCTCTATCAGATGCACCTTAGTCTCCAAAGAGACACCGTTGCTCTTGAGTACTTTAGAGAGGTCCCTAACAGCAGACTTTCCCATCGCAGTGTGTTTTTTTGATTTCCTGGCTGCTGGTGCCAAGAGTGTTGACTGTGGAGCCGAACAAACCACGATTACGTAATATTTTCTGTGTTTGTCTCATTTAAATATCCTTCATACTTTGATTTTTATTTTATTTCAGAAGTTATCTTTGAATAATTATAAACAGAACATGGTCTGTAGTGTTACTTACTCTTTCTTTGACTCTATTAATTCCCTAAATGATGTTGTTGTTGTTGTGTGCTGTCAAGTAAGAGTCTACCATAGCTGACCCTCCAGCAGGTTTTCACAAAGGAAGAGATTGACCATCTTCCTCCCATAGAGTAGTTGGTGGATTTGAATTCCACGTGCCTTCAGGATTATAGTACAATTTCTTACCATCAGGCTACCAGATCTCCAGATAGATAGGTATTTATATATGAATAAAATTCTATATTCTAAGATTTTATTAATGCATGCACAGTGACAAAATCCAATTTAAAATAATCATAGTCATGAAAACATTGGACATTGATAATTTTTTACTATACTCATCTTCTTTGAAACATTTTTGTAATTCAGTATTTATGTTCTGAGTTGTTTTTGATTGCTGTCGAGATGAGCACAATTCATAGTGACCCTATGAACAAAAGGCCTGATGCCTTTCTAAAACTATTGTCATTTATCAAAGTTCATAGAGTTTCCAGAAACATGTTATATGAGTACTTCTGTTAAAAAGAAACCTTAAAATCATAAAAGAATGCAATTCTGGTTCTTTAATATTGTATTTAACACTCCTGTAAGCAAAGGAGAGAAAGACCCCCAATCAGATGGATATACATGGTGCTATAGCAATGGGCTCAGGTATATCAAAGATAGTGAGGATGTCATTGGATAGGACAGGTTTCAGATCTGCTGTTTATAGTGTCACTATGAATTGTAATCAACTCTTCGGTACTTAACAATAACAAAAACTGTCATCAAGTTGATTCAACTTATATTGACATTTCACTGGATTTACTAGGCTGTAAATCTTTAGAGGCAAATATTATTCATCGGATGGATTTGAACTACTGACCATTCAAATAACAGCCCCATCATATTATACACTATGACAATGGGCTCTATGGGCTCAGCTAGCAGGATCAGAATTAGTTTGACAGCAGTGGGTTTTGTTTGATGAATTATAAGTATAGATAGATATATATACACATATACATATTTATATATATATCAGTAACAATAATGAAATACTTTTTATGAATCAGTGTTTCTTAAGAATAGTTTATACATTTAAATTTATTATAAATTATGTTCTACAATTTTTTAATATGAAAGTCATTTACATAAGAGTAAACCAATGTAAAATTGAAATAGTTGGCAAGAGATAGGTCAGATATTCTTTGCAAGTCATCAAAATTTGCTTCCCTGAATTCCAACACAGGAAATTTTCATCTTAAAATACATTTCTTGAGATGTGAGTGGTAGCAACAGACTATAACATCATTAGGCTCAAAATTCAGGTTTGAAATACAGACTATAATTGCTTTACCTTATATGTCCATCAGCATGCTAAAAGTCTCCCACTTAGCTCATTGTCACAAGGAGGGAAGGAGCTTTGATGGGTAATCCTGCCAAGAATACATAAAATGAAAGAGCAGTAATTTCCCCGAAACAAGGGGAAATAGATGCTCAGAAAGTCCCAAAGAATTCCCTTCAGCAAAGTTTCCAAAACACATTTTTAAGTCTGTTGCTTGAAAGATGTGTGTTATTAGCTGTCATGGAAAAATTCTGGCTTTTGGCAACACTGCATGTGCAGAATAGACCTGATCTGTAGAATTTTCCTGGGTGTGAGATTTCAAAAGCCCATTACCATGCCTATCTGCTGAGATGCGTTCTGGGGGGATTTCAGTTTCCAAAATCATAGATAAGAGGTACTTAATTGTGCTGTTCAGGATCTCTAAAAGTTTAGGAAAATTGGGCCAAGACTTCCTTGAACTTGGATAAGGATTTCCCTAGAATGTGGTCCAGGGTAATTCTTAGTAAACTGTTTGTGTTCTAATTAATTTTCTTTAACTGTGTGAGTGTGGGTAACCCAATCATCATCTAGAAAAGCCCTAAATTATTAAAAAAGAGAGAGATCTTCCCGACCTGTTGTTGTTGTGTTGTTTTGTGCCATTGAGTTGCTTGCAACTCATAGTGACCCTATGTGCAACAGCTCTGAACTCTGCTCTATCTTGAGCCAATTTCATTGTCTCTGACACACTTGTCCCCATTATCCCAGTCACTGAGTCAATCCATCTCAACCAAGGTCTTCCTCTCTTGCCCTGTCCCTCTATATCAGTTGTTCAATTATTGTGATGATCGTATACTATTGATAAAAGTGCTATGAAAGATGAAATATATATATAAATTATATGTCTCTATCTCTAGATCTATATCTATGTATATCTATATGTATAACTAGTGGAAAACTACATAGGATATACAGTCCAGCTCACTACTCTGTAATCATTAGTTCTGAATCTATAGAAAATAGAATAAAAACAATTATTTATTATGAGGTTTTGGTGGGACATCAGGATACAAAAAATTAAGGCTCATGCATCAGGCAGAGAAAAGAGTCCATGTGTATTTATTTACATATTGTTGTTGTTGTAAACCATTGAGTCAGAATGACCTATTGCTAATCATCTGACAAGTTTTCAGAGGCATGTAATCACAAGGGAGGAAATTGTACATCTTTCTTCCACAGAGCAGCTGGTGGATTCAAACGATGGGCCTTCAAGATTGCAGAGCAGCTTGCCACTAGACTACAAGGTTCCAAGTACTATCTGTGTCACTAGCTAGCACTGCTACCAATATTTAGTGTTCTCAACTATTTCAAGTTCAGAGGTTCAGTATATATGTTTAGATATTTAAAAGTAGACATACATAAGGATGGGAGTGATAAAAGTGACTTATCTTTTCTGAAACATCTTTTTTTATTCTGTTATTTATTATTGGAGGTTTTTAAAATTACTTATTTCTGTATCCAGCTATAATCCATTTTTTTATGCTTTAACTTTTATCTCCTTGATTTAGAAAACTACAGAACTATACAAAAGGTGCATTTTCATTTTACATATCAATAAATTCCATGAAAACTTAACTGTGACTCACATCCTACAGAACTGACTTTTGTTCATGTTTTATGCATGGATTCATTTGTATTATAGTAGTCCACAAACTGCTTACAGTCTATCAAGAACTTTTATAGCCTTTGCAGAGTTTTAGTTAATGTTACGCTTAAAGCAACAGAGAATTGTTTTCACTATTTGCAAAAATAATTATGACATGCATTAATTAAAAAGTCCATAAAACATACCAACTTGAAAGATTTACAGCTATCTTCAGATTGTGGTTGATTGATTTTTATCAGTTACTTTTGAGAGGTAATGTTATACTCCTGGATTAATTAAATGGAGTAAATTCTAGTGGAAAAGTTTTGCCTGAGACACTGCATTTTCCACTGAGAAAAATTATGCAAAAGAGCATTATAAATGCATTCAAATCTGACATTTGGAAAAATTTGTTATGGCTCATTATTTCATCTAACAATGAAAACATGGAAGTGGGAGACTTGAAACATCAATAAATGTGCTTTTGATGGAGTAGCAATGGTTTTGGTTTGTTGAGCTCTGCTGTTAACATACAGGGAGAAAAACAATCATTTTGAGTGATTTACATAAGTTTTTAATATTTTTGTTTATAGATTTTTACAATATAACATACTGATTCTGGTTTTTTAAAAACAGAAATATTTCTTCCCATTAGGTATACTCTGCACACTTGCTATTTATTATCGCTGAAAACATACTTTATTACTTTCAGGTGGGAAAGGTGGAAAAAAGAAGAAAAATAAAAACTCTTCTAAACCACAGAAAAACAATGGATCAACCTGGGCGAATGTCCCGCTACCTCCTCCCCCAGTTCAGCCCCTTCCTGGCACGGAACTAGAACACTATGCAGTGGAACAGCAAGAAAATGGGTAAAAAAAGTTTAAAAATGTGTTATGTCTAGATAGGTAGAAAAGTGGTAGGTGGACACCAATATTTCTGCTCTTATTCTGCCTTCTTTGACTCTTGCTTTTTCAGCCCTTTGCATACTCTGTTCATTATTTTCCCTCCCCCATTTGATTGTTTGAACCATCATATATTGTTTAGATGAGAATACAAAAAAGTGTATACTAAGGACCCTGAATCCTTGGTCCTCAAGTGTTTTCAATTGTCTGCAATCACGATAATGCAGCCTTCATTTATAATATTGCTTGTTAGTTTGAAAGCAAGTACCCACAGCTCTTTGAACCAAAGAGCCACTCCTGGGAAGGGCTGAAAAATAAAATAACCTTCTTCATCCTCGTTTGCAGTTCTTTAATGACTTTATGTCTGGCCATAGCAGGGTAGCCACTGTAGTCTCCCTCACAATGAGATAATTGGAGGGACTTGGTCAGTGGGAATCAACAGTTTTGATGGGAATTTACAGGCTGGAATAATAAAAGAAGTTCAAGCCAATGTATGCTCTGTAAACAAAACCATTTTAAGCTAGAAAATTCCATTTGAAGTCTTTTGAATATAACCACTTTCCTTGTGCTTTTCCAAACATTTTTCAAGGTTTTCGTAATTTGCTTGCTTTTATCTCTGTTAGTCAATTTGTCTTGACTCTAAGTGAAAAGACATCCATACTTTTTAGTCCCTACTTTCAAAAACAGCACATTCGTCTTTATTTATTTTCCATTCTAATAATTCGAAAAGCTATGCCTTCACCACTCTTTTTAGTCTTGATTTCATCTTAAAATACAAAATAAACACAGTTTTTCTTGTTCCAAGTTTTCTTTACCTGAAATATGTATTTCAATATACTTGAGCAACAGTTTCATGTCCTATCTTGATTCACAGAAAGATCACACTTATGTGCACACTTTATAAAATGTTCTCCATTTTCTTTCCTGTCTTTGAGGTCTCCAAATTCATTTGAACATTTGATGTCATGACATTACCTTTCTTTAGGGTTATGCTATATATATGTTGTGGTGTTGTGTTCCATCAAGTTGGAACCAACCCACCACTGACCCTACAGCAGGTTTTCAAAGGCAGTAAGTTGCACAGGAGGGATTGCCCATCCTTCTCTCGTGCAGCAGTAGGTGGAGTATGTCCTTTAGGTTGTAGTTGCTTGCAGTCAATTTGAGCACTACTCATAGTGACCCTATGAGCAAAAGCTTGAATACTTTCTATAACAATTGTTTCTCAAAGTTCATAAAGTTTCCAGAGGCACGGATGACACTCCTGCTTCCAATATATACATTGTATTACTTGTACTGGTAGTGCAGTGTTTAAATGTTCAGTTATTAACTGAAAAGCCAATTGATTAAGCTCAACAACAATTCCACAGAAGAAAGATGTTGTCCATCTGTTTCCATAAAGATTTAGAGTCTTAGGAAACCCTGTGGAGAGTTTTACTCTGTTCTACAAAGTTGCTGTGTGTCATAATATGCTCAATGGAGAGAAATACATTGCATTTGTTTTTATTTATACCTTGTTGACGTTGTTGTTAGATGCCAATGAATTGATTCCAACTTACGGTGACCCTGTAAACAATTGAAGGAAACCCTTCTCACTCATGCACCATCATTATAATCATAGCTGGATTTGAACATACTGATGCAGCCTATGTCAATCCATCTCTTTAAGGATCTTTTTTCTGCTCTCTACTAAGCATGATGCCTCTCCTCAAAACATGGCCGAAGTATGTGAGATGAAATCTGACCCAGAGAGCTGTGCTGTTAACCCAAAAGCAGCCCTTCTTGGAAGTTCTAATCCATCAGCAGCTCCGTGGAAGAAAGATACACAGTCTCTTTCTGTGCAATTTATAGTCTTGGGAACACAATGGAGAGTTAGCTATGAGTTGGTTCTTACTTGGTAATAATGAGTTTGAGGTTCTTTTGAGAGCCATTGAAATAAAACTAAATCAAAATGAATACCTAGTTTCTTACTTAATTTTGTAATGCACCAATAGAAATAGTAGTATTTATCTGATGAGTAAAACATCATATTTTAAATATTATTAAAACATTATGATATTCAATATAAATTATTTTACATACTTAACATTTTAAATTCATATTCAGGCT